TCCTGGGTGTGTACTGCTTAGGATTCCCGAACTCATCTGAAGATTTTCAGTGCCTTAGATTTCCAACCATAATCCAATTTTTGTCATTACGTGGTGAAATCTAGTTTCATGTATATATGTACACATATATTCGAAATTTGTCATGGGACACTACTGTGGATAGGACAAGTAGATCTTCAGGATTGCTTTCTCTTTTAAGGAGGTTCTAGTCCTCTTCAATTAGAAATATAGTCAGATAGTTTACCACTGGGATACACGAACTGCAACCAACCCCCTGGACTAAACATAAGTATACTAAACTATGAAGGAACAGTGATTAACTACATTTCTTTTGGTCCCAAGTAATGCCTGAATTCTATGGAACGCATGTTCCTGGATATATTGAACGTTAAACATTCTAGAAAATGAAAACTTTTCCCTTCATGTAATTGCTAGAAAAAGGAACACCTAAATGATAATTGATTAACCCTTAATTTTCTGTATCACAGTAAAGTTAAGCTATTAACTGACGCTTATCTAGCCTGTAGGTAAGTCGTTTTGCTCTGGTATGAAAGAAAAGTTGGTTTATTTCTGATCTACCTCATAAAGTCAGAGGAAGTAACAAACGGAAAAGAGGCTGATCAACAACTAAATAAATACACCGAATAGATTTGTACGTCATAATAGATGTAGAAAACAGCAGTTGTTCTTTTTGTCTACTCTTAAATGAAGAATGTAGGAAAAGAAACTAACGTGTGTATTTTTAAAATTTTACTTACCATTAGACGCTTAACGATAGTCTACTAGCACCAAAAAGCAGAAATTATCACAGGGTGGATTTATTTATAGGCCTTCTGTAAAACATATATTGCTAAGAAAGTCATTTCAGAGGTTTACTTTTGTGTCATACTCATCAAACGCATTTGGACATAAATAATTTATCAGGTAGAATATATTGAAACCTCACCTTACCTGATTACCTTTAGAGTAATTTATTTCGTTAAATTGATATGGTTATTTCAAAAAAAGGAATCAGAACTTTGAGATATTAGGTGGAATTTCATAACTGCAGAGATTTTTTATGGTGAAATTAGTAATATGATCGTATTTCAAAACTAAAAACAGCCATTTCTTAGGATTTCTTGAAAGTATGCATCTTAGTCGAAACTCTGAACCTACTGCTCAGTAAAGTTCTGTTATACATTTAAAATGTCGTAAAACGTTTATCGTTCTTAGAACCACTCACTTGATATCATGAATCCGAGTTTAAAACGGTAATCATTGTTTACTTTCTGAACTTATCTAGCCAATCAGTACGAAGCTAAGAAGAAAAATTATATCTTGAATATACTTCCGTAATTTTTTTGTCTTATTTAAATCCTATCACTTGAAAAGAAGTCATATTTGATCAGGATAAATGTGGGTGCCGTGAATCTGGTTGAATTACATTAACTTACCGTATACATTACATACACTCGTGATTGTTTAATGGTAACTTTTTGAATCACATCTGAGGTAACTGAATAATCAGTAGAGATAGCCTGTTACACCTTTAAAATGCTTTTAGTACTTTTTATTAAGTTATAAAACTAAGTACCATTCTTCATTATACACGGATTTTACAACGGTTCCGAATTTCACTATTCATAAATCTTTTTATTAAATAGAACAAGGAATCGGTTTCGTCCATTTAAACCGTGAGTATATGCTTTCGTAGTATAGGCTGTATTCCTTGGTGTCACCACGTGAGCAATCCAGAAGTCAGGTATAGATTTTAAGGGAGTAGAGATAAATCAGTTGACTAGGTTGTGAACTTTTATCGACTGAGATGGTTGGGACACGTACTACGTACGCCTAGTCACCGATTGTCTCGTCACACAATGTTGGCCAAAGTAGGTTCAGGCTGTAAAAAGCCTCGAGGTGGCCAGACTAAAACATGGCACCAATGTATGAAGTCTCTGACTGTTGGTTTGAGCCATGTAGGGCGATGCAGACTAGGTGGTTGGGGTCCACGGGACAAGAGAAACCCGTGGTTAAAGACTCTAGGTGATCGCATGGCTCAGAACCAATGTCAGTGGTGCAGATGTATACACACATCTTAACGACGCTATACCGAATCTCACTATTTTGTCATCTTTCCTTTCTTTCTTCTCGTAATTTATGTTTGGTCTGACTGGATTTTCTTATCTCCATCTTTCACTTCACTACCTTTCTACTTGGTGTACTGATATGAGGTGTGGCAACTCGGACCGTTACGCAGTAATGCCTGGTCCTATGTTGATATTGATGATGATATGCAATATAATAATAGCGCAGCATATTATGCAATACAAGACGTCCTGTGAACCGTTTTCATTCAAGTAAGAACTTACTTTATCACTATGATTTGCATTACTGACATTCTTCAATTGTTTTTGCTTATTTTATCTATCGTTCCCACTGTACGTGCTTATAGTGTTCTAACGTAGAAGTATACATCTGATTTTTGTATTCATTCTTTGCTATTTAAAGCTGATAAGAAACCACGAAACATAAAAACATGCACTCAATTTATTCTACAAACTTTGTTCTTCTTGTTTCAGTGGGAATAAACCAACTTTTGTCTTGATGGTACTATTCACCTACATGTTGTACAGTTATTACAGTCAACAAAGATCTCCTAACTAGTTGGTTTTGGGTATTGCATTCAGTTACCTAATTTATTGTTTAATAGGGATTTGGTGGTGTATAGTTCATGAGTGCAGTAAACTGTCTTTTAGACGAAAACCAGTTTATTTGAATTTTTACTGATTTCTGGATTTCTAAATCACCTTGAAACTTGATCGTCAGAAAAATTTGGCACTGAGTAACTAACTTTTGAAAAGTTTTCCTTTCTAGTGAATGAATACAGAATAACTGTGGTCGAGTTTTGATATATAAGCCATGATATTGTAACTTATAGGTCAGTAATAACATTTGCGCCTTGTTTTTTATTAACTAGAAAATACAAATACTAAGTAATGAGTTCATCTCGACGTTTTTCAACTCATTGTATCCCAAAAAGTTGGAAAAATTTGAAATGACAGCGAATTAATTGATGACTAACAATGTTGCACAGTGAAAACGGCTAAGTTTATGAGAAGCTCATGTTAAATAATTGTGAACCATCAACGGAAGAAACTTAAAGGAAGTAGCCTCCTTCACCTATCTCAGTAGCACTGTTTCAACTACAGGCGGCACGACACAGACGAGGACGTCAAAGTAGCCAGGATTGGATAGACAACAAGGCAGAAACCAGTGTGGAAATCATCTACACTCATCACAAAGCGTTAACAACATCCGGATTTTCAACACTAATATCAGTCAAGTAAGTAAGTGCTTCATGTGATGGTTGAGAGACTTGGCGCGTTACGAAAGGGATTTCCAACAAACTGCAGATATTCATCAACAGGTGCAGCCCACGCTGGCTCGTTACTGAAGATCAGATGGCCAGAATGATGTGAATAAGCAACAAGGAACTCTGGCCAGGCCATGAACCAACGAAGCCAGAAGCTATCGCTCAACAAATATGTGGTGGAAGGAATTGTAGATGGATTGGATTTGGCATGAGAAGGCCGACTGGTGACATCACGCTTCAGGCCTGTTGCTCGAGTGGAACCCCGATGTGAAGCGATGAGTTGGGTGTTGGAGATGAGGGTGACATTGAGGAGATGGTGTTAGGAGGAAATGAGAGGTTGTGGGCTGTCATGGAGCCTTGTTGAAAAGATTGCAGAGAACAGAGTGAAACGGCTATGTCCACTAGGAACCGCTTGGAACCCAAGGGAGAAATAATAATAATAATAATAGTAGATTTAGCGTTACAATGGTGTCTGTCCTAATTTAACGCAATTTACATGTTATTTTCCTAAAACTTTATCCTACATGTTAAAATAAGTTTACATTGTTTTTAACTGAATAACACTTTACTTAAAGCTGTTACTTTGCTGATAACAAAAAGATGTAATCCAAAGGTCTGCTGAAAACAATGGTTATTGTAATGTCTCCATGTATTTCCAGACTTCTAGACATCCTTTCTCCTAACTCTTTCTTTAAACATTAGGTACCCACAGGAAGTATTGTGTTTAATGCAATATATAATTACGATCATAATAAACTTTTTTCATCATACATATTTACTTTGATGCAATATTATGACAATAGTGATGGATCTAGATTAGTTCTGCTCTGAAGATTTATGACTGCTCACTGGAATTCCAAAACATTAGTTAAATACAGTATTATTTGATAAAAAATATAAACTCCTTGGTTGGTATAAAGAAAGGAGGTTAAGTATCTCCTAGAATTCTACGAATGATCCCTTTTTTCTTGAGTGTGTAATGATCATCTAATTGCTGCATCTACTCAGCAGTTATCCTTCTTGAATACGTATAAAGTTCCATTATCTAAAGCATTTGAGTATGTCTTGATGTAATGAAAATGTTATCCACTTTGTTACTAGTTTCAATTTTCAGACAGTTATACCTTCTTGTTTGCACGTAAGTAACTATTGTTGATGACTTTTTATGAAATATATGTATATATTTCTTTTATTTGCTTGGCGAGTCATTTACTTTTTTCTTCTCTTGTTGACTAAAGTAACTATCATAGACAAATTTTACTTACTACTCTCCTAGACAACTACTTCCTGTATGCAAACCTTACAACAGTCAGTTGGCACACTGTAACAATTAACAATCTATATAGCATTAGTTCAATAGAAATGTTGACCTTAACTTTTATTTTCCAATCCATTTATAATCTTAGTATATATCAAACAGTAGTGACAACAGATATTCTCTTAGTAATTTTACTAGTCATGCTGTTTAAACCAGACGTAATAAGATTTGACTTAAAATATAACTGATTTCATATACCTTGATAAACAGTTATTATATGTATGTATTGTGTTATAAATATCATTTGATTATTCTAGAAGAAATAAACAAACGACTTAGTGGACTTCATTATTATGTAAATAATAGCCAAAAATGTAAACAATAGGTGTAACAAGTGATTAACATGCGTATAACTAAATTTCATATAATGCCTATCGTTAAGTCAGTTAGATTGCGTCCAGCATTTTGTTTACATGGATGAGGCTAGGCAGTAGTACTTAATCTTTCCTTACCCCCCCCCCCCCCTCCGTCTAATTACACACTACCACGCTGTCTATCTCATGTGTTTTATTGTATTATATGGCATGATATTATTGTGCCTAAAATAATATAAAAGCGACTCAGGTATCACAATACGATTATTAAGTACCAGTTAATTGTAAATTTACTCATCAAAATGAAATTTATTCTTCCATTAAGTTTGGTACTCCTTATGGCTTTAGTCTACACTGAGTAAGTTTCATTCACTATATGTAATTGTATAGAATCAGCTGTTTTATTGAATCATATTAATGAAAATTGTTTTAGGACTTGATATAACTTTATGAATATTTTCATTAGGAACTGATCTTGGATGATAGTAATGACTTGCTAGGAGACTGATTTCCAATGTCTTTTAGTTGTTCTAAGTTATTCCATCAAAGTTGGGGAAGTGGATATATGATCGCAAAGACTAATTCTTTATCGTTATTCCCATTTTCTCAATGGTAATCATTTCGGTTAGAATCTGTTTTGACTGAATATAATTTCTTGAGTAATAATAATGTATTTCAAGAGTATTTCACTTAATAACTAGATTTTTACTTGTAAAAAGAGAATATTGAAATTTTTATGAGTTACTGGCTTAGGTGATATACTACAGGATATATTCATCAAGTCTTCCAAGCTCTGTCGTGAAGCATGCTTGTTTGTTTACTGTTCACATCTTTAGGAATACTTTACATTCAAATTGGTCTTAATTGATCTTGCCTGAGATATTTCTGGTTATCAGGTTAATATTTATAAGGAAAAATGATGATTTAACATGATTAAGTGATCAGCACAAGAAACAGGGACCTTCTTGGGAATAAACTCAATGACATTACACATTTTCGTTGAATTAATGTATCTACCATTCAGAAGGGAACATTTTATCCAGCATACACTTAATTCAAATGTCATATCATATAGCTTTAAACGGTCGATCTAAACAAATGGCTAGTAATCGAATTGCAAAAAATTAAACTTTCTTATACATCTCCTTGAATTTATGTTATTCAAAAATTCATAGTTAGGATACTACAAGTGTTTGAAACTTCATAAATGTCAATAATCCTTCAAATCACTCTGGTTCTTGATGAAAAACAGTCAAGATTCAATGATGGAAGCTAAAAAAGCTATACATATATATATATATATATATATTTACAATATTCTATCTAATTAGATGAGGGTGGGTTAAATAATTCAAACTCTTGTGTTCATGGATCCAATTTTAATTGTTATCTGCTTAACTCGATACCATCTCATTAAAACCATAGTTAAAGTGAATATTGGTTGGATACAATCGACAGAAATTTCTATTGATTTCCTACAAACAACTTATATTTATCAAAATGTACCGATATAGTCAGTCTTCTAGCTTAGTGGCTATATTCCAAAATGATTTATATAGTTCAGTCAACACTCAAGGTTAGCTAATATGAAATCGGTTACTCTTCAATGGTCAGTTAGTGCAGTCAATGTTAACAATTACCGCCTGGTTCATGATGTTACCAGTAGTTGTTTTTTACATATTTATCTTATAATCTAAGTTTAAATTAAGGGAACCTTTGTAACGACTATATTGATGGTCGGTAACTCAAAGAAATACCCTAGTTTTTATCTTTAGTGTAACTTCAATTTTTTTCTGTTAAGATAAGAATCTTAGCCAGTGTTACATTGAAGTATTCTTTAATAACAACCACTATTCAACGAAAATGTCAGTCATAGCAGTCTTATTATGAAGTGTATAACTTTCCAGTTATTACTTTAATTTTCCCTATTATCTGATCCATACTTTTGCATTTTAGAGCAAGACCAGGAAATGATAATGAAATGGTAAGCTAATCAATTCTATTTATTAAAACCTTAAACTAGCAAAAATCTGCAATTGAAGTTGGTCAGAAATTAAAGGCAGTACTTATTAAACTGTTTACAAAAGTTCGTCAACAAATAAGGGACTATTTTAGTCAAGATGATTTAGGTGAAAAGCTTAAAGACGTACTAAATATTCGTAAGTCAGACTGTTTGGCATAATTCATTCATTCTTTTTCATTACTTTAGTCCTTCAACGTTTGAGTAGACGCCTAGACAACTATACATCAAAGATGGAGTAAACTCAACTAACTAAAACAATAATTAAATTATCAAGTATATTCAATTTTAATCAATATTTTTTATTATCAAGCATACATATGTATGTTAGTTGAAAATAAAACGAATCAACAATTCATTTGTTGATGAACTGATATTTTATTGTAATTATTTATATTTTAAATTGAATTGTAATCAGATATCTTCTTTTTCAAAGGACTGGAAATTTTTTTTTTTCATTAAAAATGTTGTAATAAAATTACTGAAAATCATTTGAAAATGATATTTTTATTTTAAACATGAAACTTAGAACTTTGGGTTAATTTTTAGAATTCAAGATTGATTGAATTATACAAAACATTTTGCATCTAAAGTTGATTGAATATCATACTTTCGAGAAAAAAAATGAATAATTTAGTCATTAAAACATTTCAGATAACTTAGTCCTGAATACTAATAATGTTGAATGACTGTAAATGGAAAAAAAGTCAAATTCAGGGATATAATGAAACTGGTGGTTTTCTGAAGTGAAATACATTACTCAGTTAGTAATAATAATAGTAATATCTGATGAATATCTATGTAATTTACCAAGTACTACTTAAATACGGACAAAATAACTTTGAACAACTAAACATACTCCTTAGATTTCCATTTAATTCAAACTAACCTGAAGTGTTTAGTGAAAACAATTAAGTAGTTATTAGTGAATCTGCCTAAGTTGTTGTTAATCAGATGGACTCTACTAACTTCTTGCAAAATGTTCAGCAACGTGTATCAGGAAATTTAAACACATATTTCATCAGTACCTTAAATGGGTTCTTGGTAGAGTACTAGTCATAGGTGAGTAGTATCTCAAAGTTGGGGTAAATGAATGCCCATTCGTCAAATCATATTCTTGTAATCCAGAAATATAGTCAAAAACTAATCCTATTTTAGTGAAGATTATGCCCAGAGATCAGCAAATCAACTAGGAATAGCATTATACTCTTATATTTTGCTAATTAGTCTATACATTGTCTGTATAAATAGATCTTTCTGGGATAATAGATGCTCGTGAGCAATCAACAAATGTCTCGTAACCATATTATTATTATTTGTCCCTTGGGCTTTTTTGGAACATAGAGCTTCAGTAGCACGTCTCCATTGGACTCTGTTCTCTGTAGTCTTTTGAACCTGGCTCGTAACCATAACTTATATAATTTTCTGATTAGTGACAAATAATATTAGCAATTTCATGTCAACCAATACCACTCAATATCCTTGTAATCTCCATCTAATTCCAACTCAACATTTTAGTGCATGATGCTTTCTCGAAAATTCAGTAATCACAACAGGTGAGATTAATCAAGAAAATGTGTAAACCATTTACCCAGTGCCCAACTTATTTACTTCTATCAAGGTAAATTTTGATCCTGAGGTCTACAAAAAGCTTAAATAAGTAAATTTCTTGTTCCTGAAGATATTTGTCGGCATAGACAAAGTTAAGTCGCTTTAAGAGTTTCATGTACTTTACACGACTGCTAATCGAAATCAGTCAGTTAGATTTCAAGGATATATATACATTGTGTCACCACGAGTTGATTTCCACATATATATAGCTACGCTGAAGTTCTGGTGATTTACATGTTACTTTCGATCCGCTTAAAAGTATTCTGATAATAATAATAATAATAACAGCCTGAAGACAAATATTTATCCTGAGGGAGGGAAAACAACTTCCGTTTAATTGAGTTCTATACATTGCTGAGTAACCAGACTACAATTTATTAAAAAAACGGATAGCTTTGTAAGTAAGATGATAACCACGTAGATCATTTGACTATATGCAGCTGGAAAACAGAAAACACGAAGAATTATCACTCATGTATTGATTGGTTACGGGAGTGCAACCAATTTCATGTTTTCTAGTCCTGAGTGCAAATCGAATTCTATCGATCATATTTGCAATGTGTCAACCAAGCTAGGAAGCTCAGCATTGCGGTGCACATTAGTAGATGTTAGTTGGTTGGAGGCAATCGGCAGGAAGCCCTTGACCTAGGTTTCATGCTTTTTGGCACTTATCAGTAAGGCGTATCTGCAACCTCGAAGGAACTGATGTCCTACAGGAGGTCGTCGCGGCCCGAATAGCTCAGCTGACTACAACACTAGGTGACTTGGGTTGAATCTCAGGCGGGATATCAGTTCCGTCGATGTTGCAGATACGCCTTGCTGACGAGTGCCAATTAGCACGAAATCTAGGTCCAGGGCTTCCTGCCGACTGCCTCCAACCAAGTAACATCTTATTATCACTCAACTGACAATAATGAATGGTTACACTGAAATAAGAACTGTAACGAGATTCAAGTATCATGTCATACATATGTTCTGGCAGTTGTTACTCTCTTTCAAGTTTCCACGAGAAAAAATTCTTAAAGGTGTATAAGAATTACGCTTAGTCAAACTGCATTTTGAAGAGGACTAGATGAAAGATGATAGTAGAAATCCAGCCAAAAAAAATCAAGTTAAATCCACAAGATATTCATTTAGTAATATATATTCTTCTGTGACAAGTGTTTGGAGCGGATTGGCGAGAAGTTCTAAATATGAGTTTCATACCTTCTTGTCATTTATAAACAAGATACTTGTGCAACATGGAAGGATTATATATTTCATCAGAGGAATGAACTTGATCCACTTAGCTACATTAGGAAGCTGATTAAGAGATATCAAACAGTATTTGGGAATAAATAGGAGTATTATCAATCAAAAAGTGATCATTTTATCTACTTTACACAATATTAACTACTTCTTAAGAAGACATGGTAGCAGGCTTTCTATATCTCTTAACTAGCTGTTTAGTTTTTCTTTAAGACTAAAATCTTTCATCATGAAGAATATAAATTAATTAATCATAAGTTTAATGAAATAAGTGAGAAAAGATATTCTACAATAAGTGGTGGCATTTAGGAAAAATTAACATTCTAGTATGATACTACTGTCATAGTAACAGAACAAGGCACTTTTAAGTACTATTTAGTTGCATATAATGCAGGATAGTAGATCTGAAATGTTCAGACTGATAAATGTATCCGATTTCATTATAAAACAGGTCATGATTTGAGGACAGTGGTAGTAGTAAGTTATCAGGTTATTACATTCCAGTCAACATATTTCAACAAACAAAATATTATGTTACACATAGAAGTAGTAAAATATTCAGATAAAAATTTATTTATTTATGTATTTTTACATTATCCTTTGTGGTTTATCATATATAGACAGTTGACACTTGATCCGAATTTTGAAGTTCTTATGAGATAAGATAAACAATCGACTGTTTTTTTAATCGTTAAGATATCTATGCTAAAAACTGACATAGGTTTCATTGAAATGAACTGAAACATTTCTCTATATGATATACGTAAACACAATAACTTATGCTAGCATGCATATAAAACTTTAAAAATACAATAGACTGTTGATATCGAAAGTGTTTGATTCAGTATGTTTGTGAATAACATTTAATTATGATTGAGAAAAAAACTATTCATCACAATATGTGTAAAACTTAGGCACTGTGGTAGAATGTAATTCCATATTAGATTTGTTTATTTGATATATAGCGCACAGTGATACAGTATTGTTTAATTGATTACGTTTCGAGCATAAATTATTGTTCATAAATCATATCAATGTAATCATACTTCTTTTGTCATAATGTATCATTTATTAGTCTTTGGAAGGAATTTGATAATGTTGTATAAAATCTGTATTCTCATTTGTTGATAGGAAGTGTTAGCAACTTAAGTTCAACCACTTACATTTTACACGTTATTATATTGTATTATTGAAATATAGTACCTGTTCTATAGAAGTTGTAATCGTTAAAGCTTGAGCAAGATTTTCACCGATATTATTTAACTACATGATAGTTTCTGTGGAAATATTGGGTTGATAAAAGTTTTGATACAGATATGACATCATGTTAAATAAGGATTTCTAGATACACATGTTTTTCATGAATTTCATCAGATTAGAATAACCTAGTGGTCGTATTCGAAGACAATGACGTGTTTATAAAATAATAAAACCTAATTTCAATGTGGCTGACTATTTTTTAGGTTATAGATTAAATTACGAGTATGATTTCATAAGAAAAGATCAAGCAAAACCTAAGGCTTCAAGTATGAAATCCAACACCTTCCACTTGAAGTCTTCGGTATATTATTTATTTGAACAGAAATTAGGTATCACTTCAACAAGCCAAATACTTAGGAATCTATGTGACATGATAACATCAGAATATTGAGGTAGCTCTTTGAAACTATAGTTAAAATGATCAGATCAATTACACTGAAGCTATAAATGTACACAAAAGTGCCAAAGGTGAAAACGTCGCTGAAATTTAGCACCCGTATGTATTGTATGTAGACAGTAAATGTACTGTAGCTTGCCTAAATGAATTGTAATCAATCTACATCTACCCGAATTATTTTCATCATGTTCATTTGTGTCGAAACGCCAACCAACCTTGAAGTAGTAATTAATTCTCACCTAAAAGAATTTAATCAAATAAACTTAGGATGTGTATAAAGATAATTAATCTTATTATCAAACGTCCAAGGGTCAAGTGAAATATCATTTCCACTAGCGCTAAATCCCAGGTTGACAGAAACAGGAAACTATGGACCATTTAACCCCGACACAGTGGCTGCATGGTTAACTGGTTTATCGCGTGACCTTAAGGTATTAAGTTTGATCCATGAGGGGTGGTGAGTGCATACTTCTGAGTCACATAGTGTTACGAAACAGCTGTCCAGTGCTCCTAGGTTTCAATGTCTCTCCAAATGATGTCAGCCCGTGACGATTATACCTTGAAGTAGATACTATTGACTGCTAATCCTGTTTGAATTTGGCTTGGTATACTAAGGCAGGAGCATGTATTCGAATATCAACCTGAAATCAATAAATCTCCAAAAACTTCCAAATTGAATTAATAAAGTGCTCATTGATGACTCGCATCAAATTACAAGAGAAGTTGTGACCGAAGGGGCAAACCTGGTGGATGTGAGGACAATACTCAACTTTGACAGTGGGTGATGGTTGCGCTACGTCGTGAACTGACAGAAGTTGGATCACTGGATTCGGACCCAGTGACTTAAGGTAGCCTGCTGGCCAAGAAACCTGAAGGTCATGAGTGCACATTGCTGACGGATCCCATAATTGGATGAAATAGCTATCCAGTGCCTCAAGGTTTTTAATGTTCCTCTAAATGATGTTACTGCACGGTGAATACCAACTCTAAATTCAAATCTAACTGGCTGACGTCTTCTTTGTACTTTTGTTATGGCGACAGGCAATAATCTGATTGATAGATTTTTTTCCGAATTCCTTTGAATTTAATTGTTAAAATTCTCTTTTCAAGATATTTAGTGAAAGCAAAGTTGATTTATCACTTTAAATAAAGTCGGGATGTTTTCTCATCATTGTATAGTTGATATGATGATATTTCACTGACAATGAAAGTTATGCTAAACAAACATACTAACGTGGCCTGTTTACACTTTGGGCTAATGAAAATTTTCACTCAAGATATTTCAT